TAGTTTCGATTTGTTAACATATGACACACTCAGCTCTACAGATGCAGTTCACCATCTCCACCAGGAGAGCTAATGGAAATTAATGGTGATCCGCTTAAGTAACAACTGAGTAGTCATCACACAGCTGAACATTTGGCTCCCTGATAGTGAAATTATGTTCAAGACTACCAAAAGGAGTGAGATAAGATCCAGTAAGTGACTAGATGCTTGCCATTTTCATGTATCAATGCCTTTAGGTGCCTGACACTGGAAACTGAGAATTTGGAACCTGTACTTCTCAAGAGATTTTCATATGAAAACTTCAGGAGGGTTAGACGAAAGATCAAGGAGCTGTGTAAAGGTAACCAATAGGGAATATGGGAATGCAAGACACTAGATATGTCTTCTGCCTTGCCTCAGCTTCCTGGTCACTTGACTAGAGGCTCTAGGGAGGCACGTCTCTCCACCTGGGACTGACGGTCACCAGCGTTCTGGCTTATTAGGAAGAACTGAGCGGAGCTCACCATTTCCCTCAGAAATGGTGTTGCCAGAAGATCCTGGTGCCAGTTAAACCATTTGCAGACCGTTGCAGGCTAATGGCTAGAGCATGTGCTTGGGAAATAGGAGGGGGGCAGGCTCTATTCCCTTCTCACGCATGGGAATCACACCCATGGCATTTTCTCTGCTTGAAGGGGTTATGACTCCAATGCTGGTCTGCATAGCACCTGGGATTATAGAATTGTGATGTACAGCTCACTCTGGGCCCAAAGCAGTAGCTTAAATTAGGAATCCAGAGGTAAAATGTCCAGCTGGGAACGAGGGGACAATTTTAATACTTTCCCCCAGACTATGTGCACATTTGGCAAAGCAAACAGACCTGCAACCTCCTCCTTGGATCCAAATTCCCTAAATGCTCGGCAGGGAGGTCTACTGGTTTGCCCAAGTCTTGCCCAGGTGCCTCTGCCCAGTGTATCCCGCTCCAGTATTAACACAGGCAGAGTGGGTTGGTGCCCTTCAGTGCTGAGTGGCAAGGCACTCCCTAGGATAGGAGGGTCTGCAAGCCTCTCTGCTAGTTAAGAAATCCTAGAGACCTTGGGGTTGGAGGTGGGTACGCAGCTATTCACCCTGAGAAAGCTGTACGGGGTGGAAAGGAAGCCCTCTAAGGAACTCGCAGCCAAACAAGGAGGTAGGAAGTGAGTTTTCAAAGTTTCTGGGGGTAATACAGTAACTGAGAGATATTTTTGCGTCACACTTCTGTACTTAGTAACAACCCCCACAAGTCCTCCAAAGGTATATCAGCACAATTGTGAAAGATGGCATTGCAGAATTATCAGAGCAGAATAATTAAATTAGAAGGTTTTTCCAGTTCTTCCTTCAAAAAGGCCTGCCTTTCTCATAACTTCTTCAGATCTCAGCAAAGAAATGTTGCTCTGCTGCCCTCTTTTAAATCTTCCCCCTTCCCCTAAATTTGAGCCCTTTTGTTGGCCTTGTGCAAATGGCTGTGCAAGGAGGATTGTCCCACCTTCTGGGTAACCCAATAGTAATTGTAATTGAAGCCCTGTTCAGCTTAGTACTGCAGCTGTAGAAACTGGGACAGAGCCAAAAGAGATGTCATTACTAAATGGGATGCTGTGCTCATCCTCAGATGAGCCTCAGGACTAATCCCAAGGTGTCAAGGGTATTACTATCATAGCTGCAGCACAAAGAATATCTTAGCACATCGTGAGCTATGCTACATTTATGAAGAACGAACAATATTCTAGTTTAAAAAACATACGGGGCTTTCATACGTAACTATTATAAGCAATAGAGGGTGAAGAATTAATGCAATCATGGAAAAGTACTGGGCTTTAGCAATGTACTTATGATTAATCACTAAATATGGATGTTCCGAAATTTAAATATGTGAAGCACATTATATTATCTTAACATTAAGCAAGGACATTGTTGGACTGACAGAAAAAGGATAAACAGCGGAGAAACAGGAATCAGGACAGCGCCTACGCTCTGCGTAAGGCTGCGCTGGGCTATCCAGCCTCCCTTCAGCTGCATGCAGGCTGTCCATGGGTGGTAGTGCCAGGTGGTGTAAAAAAGTGGTAGTTCTAGCACAAGAGACCCAAACCCCAGGGCACTTGAGTGTGCTGCTTTGCAAATCCCAGCTTGCCTGTCATGTCACACCTGAACCTGGGTTGCTGGAGATGGGGACAGAGCCATGGAGATGCTGGTCTGTTCCTCCATCTGGAGGCTGAAAGGGTCCATGTCTCAGTGCTCCCCTTTCTGTTAATCTTTCTGCCTCCCCATTGTTTCTGCCCTGCCCATTGACCAACACTTTTTACCTGCATGTACCTTTTCATTTCGATGTGATCATCATCCTTGATCCAATACCGATGCTAACCCAAGTGTGCTGCAGTGTTACAGGCCATTCTTATGGTTAAAGTAGAGAAAAGCCACTTCCTAGTCAGGGGCTTTATACTTGGATTGTTAAAATATTGTTCAGCAATTGTTGAAATTGTTGTCCCTGGAAAATACTCCTGTGAAAGAGGAAGAAAAATGAGGTACTGGATTTTATGTAGCATGTCAGCCATTCCTGTGGTGAGACCTGGCTAGAAGAAGAAAGACTAGATATATCAAGACTGTGTAAGATTTAGCGTGGGAAATAATTCTTGCTCATTTACTCGTATGTAGTGTCATATGGCACAGTTATCACACTTAACAGAGGGGAAAATAATGTGTTAAATATTTCACAGATGGCTTTTTTAAATTAGGAGAGACGGGAGCAAGAAACATTTTAAATAGCTACTTCAGTACATAGTAACAAATGTTCACAAAATCTCACCAGGATAAGATTTACCTGCAGCTACGGCGATAACCCAACATAGTGCTGCAAGCACTCCCAGCACAAAGTACAGGAAAAGTAGATATATTGCTGGTAACTACAGCCACTATTGATTTTGCCTATGCTTTCTAGGTCACAATATTGTGTTGATCTCTGTGCCATTTGTGCAAAGTGACGTGTATTTTACAACTGTTGACAGCTTGTAAGGCAAAGTCGTTCCTTTGACTGCTTTTTAACAAATCCCTATAGATGTGTCAGAAGTAATGAGGCTAGCAAGAACAGAGGCACCTACCAGACTAGCTTTACACCACACTACAGAACGCTTTGCAGTACGGTGTGTAACTGTATGAATACCATGTTCGTGCTCGTGTGTCTGCTCATTGCACAGCTGACCAAGACTTGTTGTTTATATCTTCCTGAATCTTTTTGGCAGTTTTGAACCAATACACACTGCAGTGAGTAGTCTGGAGAAGATGCAGACAATTCCAGGCATTTTCCTCTGATCTAGATGTCCAATTTTTGCTTCAATTGAGTTGTCTGCCATTGCTGATCAACTACAAATATGTGGCTGACAGTGGAATTACATATCATTTCTGTGTATTCTGCCCATCCCATTACCTCTGGCACATCAGAATGGTTCTGGCAAGGCTCAGACAGTAATCACGCTACTTATTAGAAGCAAATCCTCTGAATCCTCTTTTCCATCACTTTGTGTTTTATGTAATCTCAGTGACACATGACTGCAATGCTCCTATTTGGATCTGGTAGGAGATTATGTCCATCTGTGCTACATTGAAGTAGAAGTGTCACACCTTTATCACATTTTGAGATTACATATTTCTGCTTTAGATGTGGACAATATTTTTCTTCCCCTCCAAAAATTGATATCTTCCAGATCATTTCAAGATGAGAAACGCTGTTATAGTGCTGTTTCAGACATAAATGTTATACAAGTGATCGAGTTGCTCACTACATGTCAAGTAGACTAAGCATCCAAGTCCATGAGCCTTTTTCCCATGAAATCTTTGGGTTTCAGATATGTAGGGTGCTCACAGGATTGTTTGCCCAGGTAGAAAACACCTCTCTCTCAGTTTTTAAGCTGTTTGAAAAGCAAAGGTGTGTGAGTGCTCACTGTCTTACTGTGGATGAAGGTGATCTATAGGCATGTTGCTCAGCTCATGCACTACTAGTGGTCCATGAGACATTGTAAGGCACCGTGACTTGACAAAAGCTGTGTTTTTCACTCTATTGCAGAAGTTCCATCCTTGTAAAACAAAAAAAGGATGTGTTAATGCAAAGACCTTTGCTTGTTTGAACTCACACAGCTGTGAAGCAATATCATGATACATGGCAACCCCTGGATATTTTTCCCAGAAAGGCCAGATGGGTGTTGATTTAGGGAAAAAAAGAAAACCAGAAAGCTGCCCATCCAGTTCCTTCCAAGCCTGTGGAGTCATGTCCATGCTCTGCCTCTCCAGTACTTTGTGTGGCTGAAGCAGTCATTCTCAACGGCCCGAGGGTTACACTGCCATGTGTCTATCCGCAGCCTGGCCCAGCTAGCTGGGAGCATGAAATCCCACACTGGTGTTCCCAGTTTCTCTCTCTTTTCTCTCTCTTTTCTTGGCATACTTGCTTGTTCACCTAGCTAGAGGTTACCAAACCTCTGGCTTTCTCTAGCCCCATAAATGTGCCTTTTGAGCTGCCATTACTTTTGTCCGCAAACCAGATTCTTCTGGGTTATCTAGGTAATTTTTTTAATACCCAGATTCTTCATAAGTCTGCAGCTGTATTTGTATGTGTATGTATGTGTATGTAGAAGGAGCTGAATCAGGGCAACCCAGGTAGGTAGCCTCAGCTGGCAAAGACACAGAGCTTAACCCAGATCTGCTGCTGGTGACATAGTAACGTGGAGCTGTACCCCACATCAGCTGAACTCACCACCAGAGATTCACAGAGGAGACCAAATTAAAAGCATACCAGCCTCCAGTGAAATCAAACTTGAGCACACCAAAGGCTGGGAATGCGCGCACACACACACGTAGAGTGCACTCTAAGTCTTAAAATATGCTCATGCACAAAAGGCAAGGAATTTATCTTAACAGGTAAAGTCTAATACTGCTTTTATTTTTGTTGTTTATTTCCCAGTAGGGTCAGCTACAGCGTGTCTCTCCAGGAAGACTCCACAATGAAAAAAACAACCCACAGTTGCTTTTTACTGATCATCCTTCTAATTGTAAGTACAAGAAAACTGAACTGATCATGACACCTGCCAAATTTAAACTTGTGGTGATGTTCAGAAAAATGAGTACTGGGTTATATTTGTTGTACTGCTGGAGTGAAGGAATGTGTTCCCTTATTGATAAATTTCAAAATAAGGTTAACAAAGTTTCTAAATAAGATATCTCATAAAAGTTTGAATGTGAAACCATTGTTTCTTGGTGAGACAGAACTGCAAGCCTGAAGAAGGTAATGCACATGATTTTTCATTTCTGTGTTTTACAGGCTACAACATATCAGTGACATGGAAACTTATGTGTGTGAGAACTTCCTTAACATTGTTGTGTGAGACTTAGACCAACTTAAGTAGTTGTGGATTTTCACTTTTTATAGTTACTCCACTATTAGGAAAGCAATTGAAAAGGAAAATAACAGTATAAGTTTCAGTTATTCCATTCAAATGCTATTTTCAACTGTTTAATATCAATATTACAGTTATTTCAATGTAAGCAACATGGCTGAGTAGCTGCTGTTCTAAATATGTAGTAAATTCATTTCTACCTGACTAAATACCTCTCGTGTAAGTGGAATGCTTTCTCTGATCTCTACTTGTGAAGCCTCAAATTATTAGTGATTATCATAAAATCATAAACATTACAGGTAGTCAGAAATGAGAATACTGCCCAGAGCCTCAGTTACAGAACCGTCAGAATATGTCTGAGTTATGCTGCTGGGAACAAGAACCTCTCTACCTTGGTGTGGTACAAGTAACTTGCATGCTGGATGCCATCTTATTCCCCAACTAACTGTTTGTCTCTGTGTTCCTAAAGAAACATTTGATTCTTATTCTTCTTGTGTTTTGTTGGTTAGCTCTTCATGCCCCTCTGCTTCTCATCTTCTCTTCCAATACCTGAATATGGAAGATTTGTGCATGTCTCTCCATCAACTCTCACACTTTCTGGCTTTATGTTGTAGAAATGGAGCTAGAAGACATGTTGGGGAACAGTAGAGACTGCTCTCCCTGGTTAGTTTGTTGGGTTGTGTCCCTCCTCTTCTCTCAGCCTAGCATAACTTGCCCACGGTGCTGTTTGCCACTTAAATTTATATGGATAAAAAGGAGTGAAGGAAAGTAGAGAACAGTAAGAGAATGATGGATAGAAGGAAGTGAAAGAAAGCAATTAAATGCAATCATGGAGAACCTCGGAAAATCATAGAATCATGGAATCATTTGAGTTGGAAGGAAGTTTCCAAACAAGCTCTGCTTTCTTGGTGATCATGCCAGAACATTGCTGTTGGATCAAATATGAAAAATATTTGGCATCAGTCATTTTTTCAAAAATTTCCCCACCTGTAGCTGGTAGAAAACTTTCATTTTTTACATTTTATTTGTGGTCTGTAATGAAGAAAGGGTGTCTGTCTTTCTTTTCCAAAAAAACTGTTCCCACTCTGTTGGTTCTTCTAACGACTCCCCGGTTCCCAGAGCTGTGAGCCCCTGGGACTTATGTGTCAGCCAGTGTCTGAGGTTGAGGAAGATATAATAATTAAGGTGATTTGTGACACAGGGGTGACGTCTCATTCATGTTCTTTACCCACCCCACAAATCATCCTCCAGATCTTTCTTCTTTGATGGCTTTGATGGTTTACTGTCATCCTCTTGTTTGTGTCCTGCACTCCCAGCTGGTGACTGCAAGCTGTTGCAAAGCAGCAAAACCTACTGAGGTCCTTGCTGTCCCCTCTGGGCTCCAGGCTCTCTGTTTATGCCATTTGTCCCACTGTAGGTGCCAGATTCATCCCACATCTATCCTGGAATGTTTTGTCCTAGACCCTAGTTACAAGGTATCCACAGACACTCCCCTCACCACAGTTTCCAGCTTTTAGACCTGTCACCAAGGGGTTTTGGTACCTTCTGATAGAATCCATCTCTCTCATATATGTCATTTTTTGCACAGAATAAATAGCACTTTACTATTCTGTGTACAGGTCCATAATAACACACCTTTGCCAAACAAAACCTAAAGCACCAGTTGCTCCAAAGCCCAATTTAGAAATAAAACTAACTCATTATAGTCTTCCTCTTTGATGGCTTCTCTTGCTTTTGGATGCAGAATAATGAAAATGCTTGCAGTATCACCACATAGTCCTCTATAATTCAAAGTGAATTCTATTAGAAAATGTAACTGTTCATTATTTCTTAGTTCACTTTATTCCTGATGCTGTCTAGTTTTTGGTAATTATTGAGAGCCACAGAGTGTGACTGAGATTTGTTTCCTCAAGTATGTGAGCCCCTGTGTGCTGGAGCAATTAGTTCATCTCCTCAGTGCACGTTTCTATCCACATGAAAGATGGAGCATCAGCACTGTGTGTTCAGGGGCATCAAACTGCAGAGAATGAGGTGGGAGAAACAAGCTTGGGTCCCTTTCCTGTGTGACCGATCAATTTTGCAGGACATTGAGAAAAGAGAGTTCTATTCTCTGCACGATTTTGTCAAGTAAGAATTGTCATCTAGTGCCTATAAATGGTAGTTTTGTCTTATCCTGTAAATGAGGATTGATGGAGTAGTTTTTCTCACATATTCCAATTTTGTTGTCCTGAGCCAACCACAAAGTGCTCAGTAAGGACAAAATGGATGCTACAGGTGAAGACCACACTATTGTTCAATTAGGGCCATTAGACCAAGATTGCATTTTAAAACAAATTCATTTTAAGTAAAAAACAAATTGTACAAGTTCATTATGTCCAAATCTGTCAAATTGTTACCCAGCCTCAGTCACTAAACTATACACAGTCTGGTACCTTGTGTCAGCTCCTGAAAGGCTTGTGAATAATTCCAATTCGCAAAACATGGAAAACTAATTATGTGAAAGCCTAAATGTAATCTTCAGTAACTGCATAAACTGGCGTGTTTTGGAACACAGTTGCAGTAGGTTCAAGTCTCCAGAAGTGAATTACTAAAACGATTGCCACCATTATCAGGGCACTGCTTATGGTGAGGTGCTGTGGCCACGTTCTCCCCTGGGCTTCTGCCACCTGCCCAACTCAGCAGCTCTCACCACGGGTCTCTAAAACCTGTGTCTGTTCGGGCACCATAAGCAAAAGCCTTTTCCTGCTTCGGCAGCAGCTCTTCGAACATCTGGTTCAGAGCAGGTTCCCACCCTTCTGTGGGCCAGAAGAGCTGCTGAACATCTGTTACAGCCTCCTTTGGCATGCTTCGTCAGAGCCTTGCTTGCTGTCTGGTACTGCTGGGAGCCCAGGGGCTTCCCCAGCCTTAGATGGTGAGATCCCCCTGGATCACATTACCTGAGACCATGCCTTTGAAAGCTGTTGTTCTGAAGTACACGTTTCCCTTCGGTTGCTTCAAGTTGTAAGGAGGTGGACTTGCAAGTTCTGGAGCTCTTCTCATGCAAGGAAAACTCGGGAAAGCAAGCTGCTGATGATTTAAGGTGGTAAGAATTAGTGTGAGAATTTGAAACTCAAGTTGCTCATGATTTCCCAAGAGGGAGAGGAATGCCATATTCTGTTCTATTCACCCCAATTTCAGGGGTGATCAGGGCTTTCTGTCTTCATCTTTGCTTTTAAAAAAAGTAAGAATGTTGTTATGCACCTGATTGCCCTAAAGAAGCCACTTGCAAGAAGATGATAATCAGAGCTGCAAGCAAAGATCCATGAAGTATTCTGCAACCTTCCTTTAAGCCCACAGTTTGCATCAGGCAACTCTGAGAGCAGAGCTTCCTCACATGAGCAAATACTGCAGCAATGGAGAAGAACAGTAAGATTCATGGGTTGCTTTTCATTACAAGTGCCTTGTCTTTATCTGCTGTGGCTGATAATCTCATGCTTGCTTAAACAGCTGCCAAAATCTGCAATATAAGTCATATGGGATCTCACTGTGAGGTAATTTCCATCCTGCTTCAACAGCAATTGAGTATGGGAAAATTTTAACGTGCAGTGATTAAGCAAAACATGTCGTGGTGAGGTATTTCCCCAAAGAAATTGTCTGCTGTTTCCTAGCACATTTGCGATGGGTAAGAAATTACTGTTATGCTTACTGAGTACCATGCACTAATGACCTTCCTAAGGCATCACAGTCATTGTCTTCTCTGTCCTAACACTAGCAGCTGTGAAATGTAGTTGAAACGTAATTGAGAAACGAGACGGGCTCTGCAACCACTGTAAGTCACGCTGAGCTCTCGCTCAAAGGTGTGATGTATTGAAGGACAGGAGTTAGCAACCCACCGTGTCATGACTACACATAGCAGTTTTTTAAAGAAGTACCAAATGATTGTTTGAGCTATCAAAATCAATAACAAGCAGTTGGAGTGTGTATAATTTGAAACATATTTTAACTGAGCTCAACAATAAATGTTGCAAAATTACTGTATTTATTGGAAGGAGGTAAAAAAACAAAAGGTAAGGAAACTACAAATACCTTCTTTTCCTAAATGTCATGTATAGTCAACAGCTAGTATACTTCAAGCTCCTTGATGGTGGAAGAAAAATATTTGGGGATACGTGTTCATCATGTCCAGTATTTTGTGGGGAAAAAAAAAGGAATCTTCTGCTTGCTTTGTCTGGATTCTCTCTTGCAGAAATGGGCACAGTCTTGCACAGGAGAATAGCAGGTGTCTGTCTGACAGAAACTGAGGCACTATTTGTTCATTTTGATATATTTTAATAATGAAGCCAAACTGCTTTCTCTAGATCCCTTTATTAATTCTAGGTATAAAGTGAACTTCAGCATTCCCAACAGCCTGTTTTTTCTCTTTGCATTGATAATTTATTTTCTTATAACAGTCATTTGTCACGTGGTGGCTTGGTGGTCGTATGTATGACGTCATTTACTTGGACTTTTAGGAGTGACATCATATGTACGGCTGCTAAACTGCTGCATGGGACATCACTTAAACAGTTTTCGTCTGAAGAAATCATACCAATCATTTTCAGGCTATGAGCACATCCTGATTATTAAGTTGTGAATTATTTATTTCTCTTTAATAAAGAATATTTATAAATGAATGAGGCATTCCTTTATTATATCAACATCATTTTTATTTCCATCTGAAGTAATTAATGGATGGATAGGAAGGGTTTTTAACATGCCACAATGGCTCTGAACATTCAAAATTTGTTCAACACCATAGGTAGTAGCCAGGTGAAAATGATTTAATTTCGGCTTTTTTGTGGTCAAAACATGCGTTTTAAAGCTTAACTCCTAAAATACCTAGTTGAAAATGTAGTAGCAGAGGTGATTCCTAACCATTAATTCCATGAGAGCATACACACACAGACTCGGGGGACATTCCCAGACTCTCCCATGCTGCACACTGAGCTTTTTCCCTGTGTAGCCGTGCCCAGGCTTCTGCTACCTCTGGTAGGAGAATAATGTCCCAGAGATTTCTTTCTGACCCGTTTGCCCTTCCCTGACCCCCAAAGTAAGGAGCGCAAGAAGTATGAAACAAAAATATCTGACACTACAAACTGTACCAAGATTTTTGTCTGACTGAGGCCCAGGAACATAAGGCTGGATCATCACCCCATTGAACTGACTTTGGGGAGATCATGCTTTAGGCACCGAGTCCCACAGTGGTGGGGGATATGCGATTCTCCTTACACACAGTAGAAAACACCCGCATTGCAAACAGAGGTGTGACTGCTCAACTTCCAGAAAGCCACCAAATTTATTTTTCACTAGTCTGCTGAAATGGTCATCTGATTTTAAGGTAGAACAAAGTATTGTTCAAACTTCCATGACTAGCTTTTCAAATCTAGGCAAACAGAAATGAGTAAATAGCAATCAAAGATGTTGTATCCACCACCACGGGAGCTCTGCCTCCAAGTATTAAAGTATTCATGTTAACCAGTTCCCAACAAGAGCTGACTTCTTCAGGAGTTGGATTAGTCTCTTACACACAGCAAGTTATGAAACTGACCTTTAAGAGTAGGGTGTCTTCAGTCTCTGAATTGCATCTTACGCCTCAAAATCATCATCCCTAGTTACAAACTGTTACATCTTCACTAGGTAAAAGATGTGAATAGAGCATTCCTTTGATAATGGCATATTGTACTTCTGGTTTCAGCTTATGTGGTTTTGTTCCATGGAATCTTCTGGGAATGGTGTGTCCTTTTAAAAATGGTGTGCAAAGGAGGATACAAAAAAAGTTAGAATGGGGGAAAGATGTCCTTAAGCACTGAACAGTTTCTACAGTTTCTCTCTGTGTAGCTGGCATTTGCCAATTGTTTCCCGTGTTGTGGTTCATTCTGTACAAATAAAGCAAATGAAACTGCAACAATATTTATGGCCAGCAACATCAGTCTGTCAGTGTGAAACAATTTTGGTCTTGTTCGGTCAAACAGATCTGAAGAACAAATCATCTCCTTCCTAGAGGAAAACAAAAATAAAATAAAAGCGTTGTTTCAGGGGAAGGCAAATTGGTGATGTTTTCCAAGCATAATTATATGGTTGTGCTTTCAAAAAATGAGTGTGTTCCCAAACTGGCCCAGAGTAATAGAGAGATCATTGAGAACAGAGGCAATACCACGGAAGCCCTGCTAGCTTTCTTTAATGATAATTATTCCTCTCTTAAATGCAAACACCTTGGAACTAAGGTATTATTCAAAATAAGAAAGAATTTTTAAGCATGGTGTATGAGTCACTCTTCAGAGAAGTACTGAAGCATGTGATGATACATGGACACGACGGGTGATACAGACCTGAGGGCATCCAAAGAACCTTATCTGCACTTTCCTACACTTCTTGCTGGATTTAGGACATTGCTTGTTTGGTTTTTAAATGATCTTCATAGACTCCAGCTACTCCCTTTAATCTTCTCATAAGCGAGGGATCTGTGATATGTTTGGCTTTGCTTCTCTATTTCCTGTTATGGCTTTCTAGATGCTTGAATGGCCAGATTAAATGTTCCAAAGGGCTTCATTGTCCAAGTATTTCTGTGTGTGTATACATGCACATAAATTTTATATAAATTTGTATCTGCCAGAAAATATCTTCCTTCTTATTCCTCCTATTTTAAGTACCTATTTAAGTGCAATGAGATAAACTGTCTTCACTGTCCTCCACTCTTCAGATAGTATCTATATACATTTCAAAATGAAAATGTTAGCATCAAAAGATTAAATTAAGGAAAAAGTAATTGGGTATATGAGTATAAAAAGATTAAACTGAAATGGTTTGGCACAGAAGTGTCAGGATAAAGTAATGCCTTTTTTTTTTAACTAAGTCTAATATACGGTGGTTTTGCTGTGTATTTTACCAAGGTGTTTTAGCTGTGCAAATGGAAAAGAAAGTAATGTACTAAGAAGATACAATTGCTTGTGATGTGCAATAAAAAAAGGAAAGCAACAATTTAAGAAGTAAACTGATATTTGAACTTTCAAAGCTGTCATGTTTTCAGTTTGAACAACTACAAGTTGTTGCTTAAAGATCTGCACATGGGTATTTGCTGCTAAAAACATCAAGTCTGACTGTTTGTGAGAATCCTAAGTTTTGAAGCAGCCTGTAAATGACTCTGCATGTGTTTGTGATGGCTTTAGTATGGCTTAGTATAGGAAAAAAGTAGAGAGTCATACAAGGAAAATGCCACAGCAGCATTGCTTTTGGTTGGGGAAGCAGAGGAACTAATCTTTTCCTAGCACCTTCATGCAGAAAAGTGTCCTGACACAGGATTAAGGCAGAACAGAATTAACTAAAGCTCCACCCTGGCTCACAGACCTGGGCTGTGCAACAGAGGTATGCATGGATGGAAAAAAAAGATAGCTAACCTCTCTACATGTGATTTTTGCCTTCCAGAGGCAATGATCCTTCCCTTTGCCCTTCAGGCAGCTCAGAGTGGCAGAAGTCAGAAGATGCCACTTGATCAAAGAGGACTTTGTTATGCAGACTCTCAAATTTAGGATCACTTTGCTTAGGCACTTAACTAGGAGCTGAGGTCGAGTAGTGAGGTTTAAACTCTCTGCCTTGTGCTTCCATGACCTTAACAGCTGAAGGAGCTCGAAACAGATGGCATAAAACATGAAATAATCAGTTTCAAGGCTATGGCAGTGCAGTATTTTGTCTGGGCAGTCTGAAGAAAAATTGGCACAAGCAAGCAGAAATACATGGGTGAGATGTAACTCATCATGTATTGAAGGTACATGTAACTTTGGGAAGATACACAATTTTTTTTGCAGATCACTGAACTAAATGAAAAGATTTTGAAGACTTTACCAAATACTTAATGGTCCTCTCTTTCACCAAGAAAAAGGGCTTGGTTAAAATCCTGTGTTTATAGTGAGGTAAACTAGTAAAAATTGACCATTGACTTTGCAAACAGTATAAGGCCCATCATAATCCTAAACATATGTTCAAATAAAAGGCCTTTGAAGAATGCATAATAGAGATTTCTGATCCTCACTTTTTTTTTATTTTATCCTCCTAGTTTATTCATGTGTACTAACAGGTTTTCCTTTCTGTACAGAGAATGGTTCCAAGTCTTTCTTCTACTGTAAATTATACTGATCCTACATTAGAGCCTGTAGTAACTGAACATTCAGTCATACGACAGAAGATAATAGATTCACAGTTCAAATGCTATGAGAGGATGAACAGAGCTCCTCCGTATAAGAAAAAAGGTAAAAAAGATTTGAAAAATTGTTTGTATATTGCCACGCTTGCTTATATAGCTATAAACAAACATTTTCTTCTGTATACTAACCCATAGTCTTCCTCGGGGTGCAGTTTCCTTCCCATAAGCAGTAGTCAAATTCAACTTACTTAGCATCCTCCTAAGTGCAAAGACAGAAAAAAGCCTGGAATGAGCCCAGGGAATGAACAGCTCTTCCTTCCTCCCCATGCAGACAGTACCTCCATCATCTACCTTTCTGGCTCAGTGCTTTACTGCTTTAATATCTCTTGTTCTTGCTTAGGCAATGGCATTCTCCAGAACCTTTCAGCAAGCTCACACAAAGACCTGATTGTGAACTCCTGATTATGTCTTGATTATCTCTTAAATATAAATGTAATTCTGTTTGCTTCGCTCACGGTTTCATTTTAATGTCATTTGTGTATTGACTGATAGCTGCCATGCTCTGTACTAACACAGATGTACCAGGTATTCTATGTTCAGCAGTAACACTAGCAAAAAGAGGTTTATAAAGCACTGAGCATGCATCTTTGCTGAATACAAGGCATATGTTAAGATTAATAAAAAGAGAAATGACAGATAATAGTGGTGTTACAATGGCACGGTATAAATGAAGCAGCATTTCTGGTTGGGACTGAGCGTTCTGGTCACTTTTTCTCACCGAAAATATTAAAGAAGTTATGAGGAGGCTAGAGAAAAAGTACTGGAGGCATTGTGGGGATTTATGCAAGTAAAGAACCAAGATACTAAGGACACGATTTTAAGAGAAAATAGATTAAAAAATCATGATTAAAAAAACCCAACCTGATAGATGCAGGGGGAGATAATGTGGGATTTTTTGTAATACAGGAACAAAGACATTTCTACAGCTCTTTACCACAAAGATTTTACTCAAGACTCAAAGAATAGCTGAATGTTAAGATACTCAAGTCTTGATGTGGAGTTGTTTTGGAATGAATATAGAGATTCCCATTGCTTTAGATACATTTTCATTCAGGTCAATAATGGGGAAAACCCACAAGTATTTAAACAGGGTTATGGGATAGAAAGCATCATGTTTCAGCATAAGCAAGCCTTTAGTTGCTGGGCTTGAGGGGGAAATAACTTACTGTCTGCTCAGATTACTCTTACAGTCTCCAGTTTTATAAATATGTAGTTTTTGCATAAATTGAGAGTTCTGCTGGATTCACTTTTCTTTTGCACCTTGCTCATGTGATTAGTTGCAAAGGGCTGAAGTGTTTTCCCAGCATGAGCATATATTTCATGACACATGAATTCCTGGTGGTGTTTTCAAAGGCAGCCTTTTCCCAGGAGGACAGCACTGGCTGACTCGTCGGACACAGCACAGCAGTTCCTGCATTCCTTCAACTAGCAGCTAGATTTAAGTGAAGTCACTGGGGACGGTTATATTCCTAGCAACATGCACTTAATTCAGTTATAACCCAGAATGAAGCTAATGGCTGACTAAGGAATGATGCCAACCCTATTCAAGTCGCATTTCATAAAGGGTTGGAAGTGGACAAGGGTCTAAGTCTCTCGGCTGCAAATTTGAAAGGGAGGATGGGATGAGATGGGAAATTCCCTTAACGCAAAGGACAACCATAGGAGTGTCTCCTGAGAGGAAAAGCCCAAAACATGAGCTGAAAGGATATACTGGGTATGCATTTTCAGCACAAACGGTAGTGAAGTCTAACACTGAAGTTCCCAGGAAAGTCCAGTGTCTGATACAACTTCATAGAGCTGGCCGAGATGTGTCCACTTTTTCCCTGGTATCTCCGCAGTACCTGATGTAGCCTATTTGTAGACTGGTGCAAAAGTAGTTTAAATCCTTCATAGTCCTGGGGCTCAAAGCTGGTGGCAATGAACTGCAGAGAGCTGCACAATATCACACACTCAAGAGCCAGAGTAATGCTATAATACAGGTGAGCTGTGGCAGCATCACAAGTGGCCATGTGTCAGCAGAGCCGAAGTAACGGACTACATACACACATTTATCTTGCCGCCCAGTTCAGGGGAGAATTGTTTACCTTAAATCCCGAAGAAATAACAAAATGAGGAGCTCAGGTACATGGGAACAGTGGACCATCCCTACAGGACAGCACAGCACTCCCACACTCCCTGTCCATCCAAAAATGTAATATTTTTATTCAGTGAAACAACCATATGGTGTTCAACTCTTCCTTTTCTGTTTCATTACTTACATTGTTTTATTTCCTGCAGCATTTACAAAACGTATGTATGTATGTGTGTGTTTGTCTATACATGTGTGCATGTACATATATATTTATGGATGTATGTGTGCATATATACCCTGTTACTTACCTTGAAAGACACATTCCACAAAGTATAGATCAACATCAGTGATTTTTTTTTCTTTATCAGGCAAGGAAAAGGATTTAAAGCTAGAAGTTGCCACCAACCCCATTCTGCAGTGTCTTTCAGATACAAGCTCAAGTTGCAAGCATTTTCTACTCTTCTTTTTCTTTGATATTACAAATTTATTCCCAAAAATCTTTCAGGTACATCTCAAAGCTAGAGAAAAACATGAGAATGCCTGAAGGAAAGACAACGAACTGCTGATATAATGGTTGGTTAATTAAGTGAACAAGTAGCATTAGCACATTTAACTTGCCAATGGAAAAATAGATGTGCATAAAATCTTAGCTAATTAATAAAAAATGTTCATAAAAATATCTTTTTTGCTAGACCTCTAGTCTGGAAAAAAAATAATTTGGAAAGTTTTATGCTTTCAAATTTTAATCCACAACTATTTTGACTTAAAAATAGTTATTGGTGCAAATTTGAACAATTCAGATGTCTTTTTACAGCTTGCTTGCTTCAGTAAGAAAGCTTATCTGTAGATTATTTCAAAAGCACCAGAAGCAATTAGCTGCCCATCTTTTATTACCTTTAAATGATTATTAGGTGCCTTCCATATGATTCTTTCCAAAATAACCTAGATCATCACAGCAGCAATTCTGAAACTCCCTTGGGACCAGAGCAAAAAAGGCAAGACGTATCTTCTCACTGTATTTCCCTTTAACCTGATGGTCATGATGATAAATACCTTTTCTGCAACACAAACTGATTTTAAATAGAAAATAACTAAGAAGTATAGGGGTTTTTTAATGCGTTACTTGAATAAACCACAATGAGTCAGGAAATCCTGTTACAGCAAGGGGTCTTTTAGCACAATTTCTGTGGACCATAGTACAGAACATCTCTGTCACTGGAATCAAGAATGATCTGTGTTCTGCCTCCCTAGTATAGCCATCATTTCTGGGGCTGGGAACAGTCCTTGTAAGGGACGGGGCCGCGACAGTGCTGCCTTCCCAGAAGGGGCATGATAAGGGCAGGATCACAGCATCCCTACCCAGACAACATCAGCAGGCAGAGCTTGCCTGTTACAGATCGGTCTTGCACCTACTTCACTGGATCTGTAGTTACGTCACCTGTCTCTAGCACTGAACATTGCAAGAGCCTTACAGGGACCTGTCTCTGCAAATGTTGCTTTTAGCTGGGACATCCCTGCAAGCCCTTCCTACCTTTACATTTCAAAGCCTTGATATTCAGACCTGCTGAAGAGCAGAATGTGAAATGAAAAGCGGGTGTCTATAAGGTCTTTGGGTACCACTAGTGTACATGCTTCGGGGTAAGGGCAGAAGGAGGATCAAAAAGAGGAATTTTTAGGATCAGACCCTACATTCAAAGTTCAGTTTGACAGGCTTTAAAACATCACTTTCCAGTAAAATGAACATCACTAACAACAGGTCAGCAAAAATGAGTACCTTGTAGCACCTGAATGCCACTCAGAGTGTAGCAATAACAAGGGGTTTTATTGCAAGGAGAAAACTCGATTATCTGCAGACGGCAATATTCCTTGAAAGGCTAGAACAGAGCAGGTTCAGGAGTGACTGTGTGTTGAATTAACTACTGCCTTTCTCTTAAATGACCAGGTCTGTTCTGCAACCGAACCTGGGATGGCTGGCTGTGCTGGGACGACACACCTGCTGGAAGAATCACTGCTCAGAATTGTCCAGATTATTTTCCAGACTTTGATCCAACTGGTACAGTATTTCTTTTAATCATCTTACCTTCCAAAGGTAGTCTTCGAAACATTCATGCCATTGAGTAGAAGCATGTTTCCAGTGCCATTTTTGCATCCTTGTGGGATCTCAGATAGTTTGGCTGAAATTAAAATATATCAAGCTTTTGGGTTGCCTAATTTATATATTTTAATTTTAAAAATATTTTATATGTATTTATATTTTTGTAAATATAACCCATGGATTTATGGAACTTAATTTATGAAAATATTTACTACTTAGTTATAATATCAAAATATTCTTAATGCCTCATTCTGAGTTTTTATAATGAAAAGAAAATGCATTAAATATTCTTTGGTCAGTTTTTATTGGAAAATACCATTTTACGGCAGAAGATGAGCAAAAATAATGTTCTTTCAGTCTCCAAGTTTCAGTTGTTCATTGAATTCTTCATGCAAATACTAGCAGCCATGCAGTCTAAGAGAAGTAATTCAAGAACATTTAAAAGGACAAATGAAAGGAAAACTGAAGGACAGAAGTATTGCTAAATTGATATGAGGAAATATTGGTCACAAGTATAACTCCATGTGGTAGGTTGACTTTGACTGGAGGCCAGGTGCCCACCAAAGCCACTCTATCACTTCCTCACTGCAACTGGAAAGGGAAGAGAAAATATAATGAGAAGCTCGTGAGCCGAGATCAGGCCAGGGAGAGATCAGTCAGCAGTTACCGTCACGGGCAAAACAGACTCAACTTGGGGAAATTAGTTCAATTTATCGCCAATCAAAAGCAGAGCAGGGTAATGAGAAATAAAACCAAATCTTAAAACACATCCCCCACACCCCTCCCTTCTTCCCAGGCTCAACTTTGCCCCTGATTTCTCTACCACCTGCCCCTTGAGTGGCACAGGGGGACGGGGAATGGGGGTTGTGGTCAGTTCATCACACCTTGATTCTGCCTCTCCTTCCTCCTCAAGGGGAAGACTCCTCACACTCTTGTGTGGGGTCCCTCCCACGGGAGACAGTCCTCCACAAACTTCTCCAAAATGAGTCCTCATGGGCTGCAGTTCTTCACGAACTGGTCCAGCCTGGGTCCCTTCCACGGGGTGCTGTCCTTCAGAAACAGGCTGCTCCAGTGTGGGTCCCCCACGGGGTCACAAGTCCTGCCAGCAATCCTGCTCCAGCCTGGGCTCCTCTCTCCTCGGGTCCACAGGTCCTGCCAGGAACCTGCTTCAGCGTGGGCTTCCCACGGGGTCACAACCTTCTTCAGACATCCACCTGCTTTGGTGTGCGGTCCTCCATGAGCTGCAGGTGGATATCTGCTCCACCATGGAGGTCCATGGGCTGCAGGGGGACAGCCTGCCTCACCATGGTCTCTACCACGGGCTGCAGGGGAATCTCTGCTCCAGCGCCTGGAGCACCTCCTGCCCCTCCTTCCTCACTGACCTGGGTGTCTGCAGAATTTTTTCTCTCATGTATTCTCACTCCTCTCTCCAGCTGCAAATGCTGCCTACCATTTTTTTTCCCTCTTTCTTAAATATGCTATGCCAGAGGCGCTACCACTGTCGTTGATTGGCTTGGCCTTGGCCAGCGGTGGATCCATCTTGGAGCCAGCTGGCATTGGCTCCATTGAATGCAGAGGAAGCTTCTAGCAGCTTCTCACAGAAGCCAACCCTGCAACCGCCACCACTACCAAAACCTTGCCACACAACCCAATAACTCCACAAAGAGTATTGTTTGAAGAAAGACACAGCTGTGTGTTCCACACTCAGGACATGTTGCTTATAGGTGGTGCTTGATGCCACAGTGTGCTAAATCCAGCATAGACACAGTGTACCAATTGCAATTAAAAACTGTGAAACTAAACATTTGGGTGGGATGGTATAAAAATCTAAAAATTTTCAACAAGGTTAAACCAAAATGTATGTGCCCAACGGAAAAGTAAGGAAACAGACTATTGCATAGCTGTGAATTAATTGCCCAGTACCATTAGCTAAAACTATTGTTAGCTAAAACAATTGAGCTTGTTGCCTATTTAGAAACAGAAGTGTTTCCAGGCTGAATGCCAGAGAATCCCATTTGCAGTAGCAGCCAGATTGATTGATATTTCTGTTCTTTATAAATCAAGCTAACCATGATTAGAGAATTCACCCAGCAAGTGGGAAAATTCCAATGCCAGCCTCAGTCTGAGAGGATTCAAACCTGCATCCTAACTTGGACAGAGGAACTCTTTCCAGTGGAAGTAGGCATTGGACAGAACAGATTGAAGAATTTGTGTGCCTGGAAAGTGAGCTCATGTGGCAGTGTGACTGTCAACCTCTTGTGGGAATACCCTGAGACCTACCCCACAAATCTTTACAGCAGCTTACGTCCCTGAGGCACATAACAAGCACCAAATTGCAAAGTCTTGTAACATTTTTTGCTTTCGAACACACTTATTTTTGACCTCTTTTCAGTACAGACTACGATTTCTGTCATAGTTTTCAAGGAGAAGTCTTGCAGCAGGGTCACAGTCATGGCTAGTCATTAGATTAGGCTGAGGAGCTGAGACCCTCCACTGGAGGGGCACCTTCAGCCTTGGTCTCCCTCTCCGTGGACAAGTGCTTCAACCATTAGGCTATTTGCACAAAAGGTGCCAGAAGAGCATTTTAAAAGAATTGGCCAAATTTGGTTCCGTTCCCATGTTCAGGAGAGATCAAGGCTCTGGCTCCTGAGGTTGCACAAGCCTTTTCCTACATGCATGACAGAGGCGCCTCTGGGATGGGGTCTGTACCTGCTGCTTAGGCCCCCATTTTCTTCATCCCCATGTGGCAACAGCCCCTTTCATAAATAGGACTATTTACTACAAGGCTTCTGCTTTCCCTGCTTCCACAGTTTTCATAGAAAAAAAAATAGTGTCACTAACAGTCCTAGTTTATGTATACTCCATGCGCTGTTCAGCTAATACCTGCAAAAGTGGGTGTTGGGCAGCCCTGTGATCACAGAAGTCTCACCATGACTCGAGGTCCTCATCCCTCAGGGCGTGGGGGTGATTACAGAGCCACTCTCCTGCTCACTCCCAAGCCACCTATTCCCAGGTTTTCCACTTGCCTGCTTGTCTCCAGTGACTTGTTTGGAACTAATTGCTCCGCTACAACAGCACTCTTCAAAGTAATACTTGGCACCATCCACGGAGAAGCACCTCACTCACTTATTAATGCTTATTGGCACCAAGGTCTGTGGCTCATACAACTGATTGCAAATCACTCCTGAATGTACAGATGTGTGCGGCAGAGTCTGGTCCACAGTGTGTGCATACTGTGGTTACTCTTTCTGCTGCGCTTTAAAACTTGCAGATCTGGGAATTTTTTGTATTCCTGTTCTCTGTACACAGCCATAGGAGGAAAAGCCTCCTCCAGTAATTAATTTCCTGCTGTTCAATCTCTGCTGTCCTGTTTAGGAACAATACCTGTGGTCTTCTGGACTTAGTATTTTCACCTGGTACATCTCTCTTCTCCTTGTCAGCACCTCTGTCAGCCTCTTTGCCTGCATCCTGGTCCGTCGACAGTTTCCCTGGCTCGGCAGCAGCTCAGCATCTCCTGATGCATCTCATCTTTCCTAGCGTAGCTGTTGAGCTCCCCAGCATGTATTACAGGTGCGGCATCGAGCCAGCAGGTAGCCAGCCTTTGCTTTACAGGTGGATGATTGTCACACCGGAACTTAATAAAGTAGGAGGGAGACAAGAAGTCGTGGGGGTGACAAGAAGTCTTTCAACTGCTAATGGAAGTGGCTGCCACTTAGAGGTAGCCAAAAAGCACAGGTTCAGCTGTCCTGAGAAGTTTGTCAGGTTTTGTGTCACAAGTCATTATTTCCTTTGGTAACTTATGCCTGTTAAACAAAATACAGCTAGATTTTCTGCTGAGAAACAGAAAATTCATCCTAAAGAACAATGATTTCACAAGATGAGAACTGCAGTGCCTGTCAGATTTCGTTCCCATTAAGTCTCTGTGATATCAAACTACCTCAGCATGTATTTTACATGTGCAAGTAACCCCATGGACTTTTGAAATGAGTATGTGCTGCTTTGGGCTGCGCTGAGATCTGCAGAACAACTGTGTATCAGCCCACTGATGGCTAAGTTACTTTAGTTTGAGGCCATGTATAGCTTTGAGTCCTGGAATAAAATGATGTCATTCAGCTTTCTTTTTGTGCTTTGATACTTACATCATTCATAACTGGAAAAGTGAAACATTATCTGGCAACACAGGATCGGATCCTCCTCCCATCTGCACCATGCGTGGGTGCTGCATACCAGGTCTCTATATCTGAACTCCCAACAACATTCAGCATCAATGCCACGAAGAAATTGCTAGAGTGTGTTAGAAAAGTAAATAAAATGAAATTATGTTCTGGAGAAAAAGGCCCAGAAGCAAAACACTGGAGAACACACTCAGTGCTCCATTCATTTGCTGTCTGCCAACTTCACAGCTAACTACCAGATGTAGTCCCACTTACTTTACTGAACTTACATCAGTTCATACTAGATAGAAATCTGTGTTCTGAAAGACAGAAGGACCACTGTGATAATCTAGCCTGTTCAGTTAGCTAGGGCCTCCCATACCTCTTTCCTCACTTGAGGATGCTCTACCCTGTGAAAGGAAATGAGTATCTTAAAGCTAACAGACAAACAGAAACCCCTCTCTACAAGCTGTGACAATTTTGTCCTTTTCAATAAACAACTGTTGCCTCCTGTAGCAATCTCTTTCTCACAGTGACCATCACGCGCAATGTGATAATGCATAAAACCAAATCAATTTGTCTGGAAAACATATTCAGACCTATGGCTTTAACTTCAGTGACAGCAGGAAATTCATTGTCTCATCCACTCCTGACTGTGAAGCTCTGAGCAGGGATGAGTTTTATACTCCCCTATTGAGGCAACATGCACAGTTTGTCTTGAATTTTATTTTATATTCATATTTTATCCAGGTTAATCTTTGGTGTAATCCCTTTGAAATAGTTCCAGCTCACACTGAAATTGCTAGGAATTGAATTTGATAGGAATGTAGTACGTAATTCATGTTGGTAATATACTTGCTAATAAAAAAAAAAGGAAATTTATTGTGTTTATAATGGCCTTCCAGCAAGGCAGATTTACTGGGGCAGCAGAAAGAGCAAAGCATTGCCCTGTGCCGTGCACAGGCTGATGGCTTTGTGGCAGGGGAGTGTTTTATTTCCCACCTCATTCTCCCTGCACGATGTGTTTGGTCAGGATTAATTTGGTGCAGTCACATAGCAATGGAGCTGAATGTGCAAGCTGCGCTGTGGCAGCCATAGCCTTTCATTTCATTCCCTTTCCTCTTTGGCGATGAGCAGTGGTTAAGAGCAGTAGCCACCCCAGCAGGGAGCAAGCCCAGCCCAACTTTGTGATTCAAGGCTGCCTTTAGCAAAACTCCACTCAGTTCTCCACCGTGTTGGGTTTCTCTCTTTGGTTCCATTTTGTAAACCAGTTACTCGTAACTCTTCATGTGGCTCCAAGAGCAAAGTTTCTAGGAGTGCAATTTGGAAACAAATCCATATGTATCCATAAGCAATTACCTCAGATGACCATTAAAGTGTTGTTAGCTCTCACAGCTGAGGAACGTGGAAGTACAGCCCTGCCTTCCTGCTCTGACACTGTCTAGAGGGAGCGAGGTCCCCTTGCTCTGGAGCGTGGATCACGGCAGCGGAGGGGACAGAGGCACTGCGGTGTTTGTACTCTCTGCAGCTCTCTTCTTGTGCCATGCTGAGGTCTCTGAATTGCTTTGTTTCTCTTATAAAATATCTTTAGAGAAATAGAGATAAATTCTCCACGCAGGGGAAGGGGGAACAGACTGAATAGCTCTTGCAGACCCTCGTGGGTTTACCAGCTGTGACGCCTGTGACCACAAGGGACTGGGTTTGAGGGACACAGCACACCCTTCTCACAGCTGGCAACATGCACGAAGCATTCAGCTGAGTAGGTTGCCAAACTGACAAGAGCAGTCATTGCAGATGAGAAGCCACGGCCCTCCACAAACCAGAGAGGGAGGGAGACCTTCCTGGTCGCTTCCGGCTCCTTCCACCCCCCTGGCTCCTGGCAGGCAGGGAGGCCACTTCCTCAGGCATCCCCTAATTCAAGCACCTTCCCAACCACGGTCCGCTCCCCCGCATACCCAGTCCGTCATGTGCTCCTTCCCTCCCTGCCCTGTGCTTCGGCGTGGCGACGTGCCGGCGCTCACGGCGGGCAAGGAGCAGCACCCTCGGTAGGCCCGAGCCCCAGGGACCCGCTGGAGCACCCTGAGCAGAGGAGGGAGGGCTGGGCCTGGGAGAGCCCTTCTCCTGCTGCCACAGATGCAGGTTTCCTGACTGCCGAAAAAAGCCAGCTCTGTACTTCTGCTGGTCCTATTTTCCTGTCTTGAACTGATAGAATTTAGGCAGTGTTGAATAAAACAAACCTGAATTCTTTGTCCAGCTGCTTCTTTTCCTCCTACCCTTCTGTATATTTCTGTCCTGCTTCTTAGCAAGCTCGCCAGCTGTATTTTAAAAATCAATTCTTACCCCCACAGTGGACAATATGACTTTATTATACAGATTCCAATTCTGCTGACTGAGGCATTCTGCTGTTAGTGATACCTCTTCACTCATTAGGACACTGAAACTGAGGGTTTTTTAGGGTCTCCATTGTATTATATCAGATGATATTTTCATTTTTAAAAAATTTTCGTCTAGGAGACTTTACTGAGGATTTAAGTAAATCAGACATGATACATCAGTTATTCCCTCATCTGCAAAGCTAAGCACTACACAGGTCTATCCAAACAATGGCAAAGAATCCAACGTCTGGTATGTGTGAGCATGCACTGCAATAGAGGAAAACTTCTTTCTACTTCCAGCTTATAACTCAACAGTAAATAAAAAAATGGTGTTGACTCCTTTAACATCTGCTAGCTATAGAATTGCTCTAATTGTAGAAAAACTGATTGATAGTGCTGTCATGTTTGTTCCAGAGTTATTGGGTTAAGATACTTTTTACATATAGAAGACTGAGTTGTTTTTATGAAGATACGATACATAAAGGCACTATTGCTAGCACAAGCAATACCACATGCAAAAATAGTAATACTGGCTAATCTTTTTAGACACTTCACTACTTGTGAAACTGCCCTCATGGACAAGATTTATCTTATCCAATTTTCCCAGGCAGCTCTTGAAGTGTCTGTCTCTCTAAGCTAACTACAGAGAGCCTGCACAACTGCCTCTGAATTGTGTAACTCGGAGGTTGCTAAAGTCAGGTGAGACCAATCCCACAGAATGTCGCTGTTCCTCCGCTTTGAATAATGGGATACCAAAGCGGTGCCCTAGCCAAGCTGATACGGTACAGACAGAGCCTAAAAAATTAGTCTTTACATAGTATTTGAACAATCTTAAAGCACACACTTCCATTTTGCCTTGCTAATATTGCCTTACCCATCCTTACGCATTTGTGTATTATTTCTTCAGAGCTTACTAGATTCTTCTGGTTAGCACAAAAACCAAGACGTGCCCAGGTTCATAATCCCACACCTGCTACTGAGCCACAGTAGAATAACTTGCGGTACAACTTTGGTTGGGTTACAGACTCACAGCTTTATTTCTGTATGAAATCATAGATTTAGAAGAGATGTTTGACCTGTTTGAGTCACTGGGATGGGCAGTAGGGAGGTTTATCCCCCAGTCCCATATTCTGACAACGTCACAGCAAGAAATCTGTGGTCCATGGCCACTTCCAAACTAGGATCAGTTGTGTTTGTCTGCCTTCAAGGAAAAGTATGAGGCAACAGGTTTGTCTCTAACTTACAGAGGCCACACTAAACTTCGGCACAATGCCTACCTAGGCACTAAAGTACAAAGATGATAGATGATATTGCCATTATACTCTATAGCATATTAACAAAAGCCATGTACTTTGCAGAGTGCATGGGATAGTAGGTGCGATGTTTGTACACTGTGTTCCATGGTAGCATAACCATTAATCTTTTATCTCTGACTGAAAACTTTTTCCAGCTTTAAATAATATCTGGCAATGAGTACAATGGGAGCATTGCTACACAGGCAGTCTGAGATGATCTCCAAGCTGCAGCGATGGAAGGCAGAGATAACATGTACTGTTCCTCTTCGTGTTGTTGATGCACGTATTGATTTTCAACAAGTCCCCCAAAACAATGGTTTGAAACTCACAGTAATTTCAAAAGTATGCTGTCTTCTGGAGGACTGTGTATTTTTTTTTGCAATGGCATTAATGTATTTCTAGTCAGAGGAAGATAGCTCAGTCTATACAATCCTTACCGTGCCACTATGATCAATTGCTTTCCGTAGGGTATGTGGAGGGAATATGAATCTTCCAAATTAATAGAATCATTAATCATCAGAGCTGACTAAGAAAAATAAATGCAAATATCGAACACAAAAAATGAAGATGTGTATATTCAAATGGTAATTGGCTCTGTAAAAATATATTGACTGGACATGCTGATAACCTATGTATAAAGCAAATAAAATTACAAAGCTAGAATAGGCAAAGGGAAGTCAAGATAGACTTTTTCGACTATCTAAAAAGTCAGACTTTAAATACTGTGTTTTTTGTAAACAAACAGTTGTGTCACTACCTAAGAAAACATCAAATTATTTAAGTTTCTGATCTTACCCTGCCTTAATTACTTGGGCAAACCTTCCAGTGACTCCCATGTGGCTAATGCTTGAGGGAAGGCCAAAGGAACGAGTCCAAAAGTGGACAGGTGATTAGGAGCGACTGTCTGTGCCTCAGCGTCCAAGGTTTCCCAGGCAGAAACGTGAGCGTGGCTGGGAGGACACAGGCAGAGCTCAGATGTGCAGCTCCAGGCACTCCCCAGCACCGTACGGTGCCGAAGCCCTGACCGTGCCCCTGCCGCAGTCAAAGGGTGCGTGCGAAGGAGCAGGAGCCTGGAGAGCAATCCGTACGGCAGGGCTTTCGGGAAGGATGCCAGAGCCACCTGCAGTGCAGGAGCCAGCACCGGAGACACAGGTGGAGAAGCCAAACACACATCAGATTGTTTAAACAGAGAACTCTGCAGCTGTTTTAAATTAAACTGGACACTTGGGACCTGCGCCAAAACATTTGTGAGGCTGCTTCTCCCAGTGCCTGCATGCTTTGCAGCCTCAGAGGAAAGCGAGCAGTGCTCCCACTCGCCCCTGGCAGGATTTGGCCGGCACAGAGGCTGGGCAGGACTCTTCCACCCCTCTGTGTAAGCGCAGCGCTGGTGTCGGGGCTGTCACCATCGCCAGCACCCAGGCTCCGGTGTATATGCTGCTTGCTGTCCTTTCTCTACACAGTATTGTTAACTAATTATTTCCCTTGATACCTGAATCTCTCCTCGCAAGATTCAGTCCGCTAGCATCTGTGTATGGAAACCAGCATGTCCTGGCATGTGTCAGCTTTGAAAATAAAATGTTAGATTTGCGTGCGAGCCAGTGGGCGCATCCATTTTCCAACATCAATATTGCAGGTTCGGATGAGAACTAACATATGCAGACACCACTGTGTTTGCCTGCCTGTGCACACTTCCGTCAGGTTCAGCATCAGCACCTAACATTACTTTCTTTTCCATAAACAGCTTTCAACCACCTCTTCAGATGAATTGTTATCACATAAATAATTGCATCTGAATGAAGACTGGGTATATATACCTCACTGCATTCATTCAAGACAAGACAGATAAACAACAAGTATACCATCAGATAAATCTCTCAGAAAAAAAACAAAACGAAACAGACACATGTATATTAATTGCACAAGTTGAAAATACTTTGGATTTTGTTACACAGGCATTTTATTTCTAAACATAGAAATTCTTTTTTACAGATTTTTAAATGTGTAATGGGCATATGCTAAAATAACCGTTATTGCAATTTATCATCAGAGAGGGCTTCAAAATACTGTGATGAAACTGGAAACTGGTTCCGCCATCCTGAGAGCAACCGAACTTGGTCCAACTATACTCTGTGCAACTCTTTCACCTCTGAAAAATTGAAGGTATGCTACAGTATAAAAAGGCAGTGATTACTTGGGAATGGTTTTGGGCTGGGCTAGCAGTAAGACACATAAGAGAGAGGTCAGAATAGTCCTCATCCTTTAGCTTTATTTATTGCAGAAGAATTTAATAGCATTCTCCTTGTGATTTTAGCTTATTAAAATTATTTGATGAGTGCTCAAACCTAAATATAGGTTTGCTATGGGGTGGATAGTTTAGTAACAATTCATGCAATATGTTTTGCACTGTTTTTCAAATGCATTTCTTAATTCCTATGATTTTCTCTGATTGTCCAGTAGTTATAAAATGATCCTTTAGGATTTCAATTTTGCTTTCTGTAATAAATATCTTCCAAGCTGTTGATGTTTTCTCTGCAGGGCTAGAAATACTAACGTAAGTTAAAATTCTTTTTCTTAAGGAAAGACTATCACCCTTTACTCAATCCTTTAAAAAGAAACATTTACGAAGGTACCATTAATCCAGAAAATCCTACAAGCCTGAACACATTTAACTTTAGCAGTTTGACTGAAGTCATTGAGACTATTTACAATAATGAATTAAGCATTTGCATCAATATTTCCAAAATCAAGTTGCTAAGCTGAAAGAGGAGAACTAAATATAAAAGCACCAAAAGAAACAAGGAGAGAGAAATCTGAGAAAAGCTTAAAAAAATTAAGTTAGGGAATCTCATGAAAATAAACGTATTTCTCAAATGCAAGTGGAGCTCCAGGAAAATCTGATTAAAGATTTGTGACAGAATAATTTGTGACTATTTGGAATTGGGGAAGGAAAAGAGTCAAAAAGCGATTTGATTTGGGATTTGTGTTGGAGGATCTTTTTTTATGCAGCCAAAAAGCAGTATGTGGTTATATTTAGTAATGATCCAGCCCAAAAGGCCTTGGAAAAGTCTACTGGACTAGGCAGGAGGTAAATTCTGAAAGTTTTTGCAGCATAAGGAGCCATCACGGTAAAATAGGACTCACCTATGTGACAAAGAGAGAATAATAGTAACAATCTGAGTTCACAGAGGTATTAAATGGAAGCACGGTAAAAATATATTTTTTCCAGATGTTGGCCCATGTAGGGAGGCAAAAAATGTAGCTCTGTTACCTATTAGCCATGCCTTCCAGAAGAACAATTTTGAACATCATTCAAGCAAAGTGCAGAGAGAACACAAAGGAAAATTATACGTACATCAAGATTCTTCTGAAACAAAAAATAATGGAAAATACAGAAAGAATCTATCTTTACAGAAATGCCAAGTTAGATTATGACCTTTAATCCAAGTCTTCAAAAACAGGAGTGAGCTCCATTCGTAGACTGTTTTCATGTACCTGTGGGTAATATAATTAACTGAGAAGGAGGTATTCTTATTAGAGAATTCTCCTTCCTCAAGTCAAGAATTTTAGGTGGACAAAAAAGAACATTTAAGTGTTTCTTTCAGAAGTTTTCTAAGACAAGGATGAAAAAAAAATCTGCACAGGCTAAAAATTTGGTGAGTCAGCGTGTTAAAAGTCCTATACATCAGAAGAGACATGACAGATGCCATTTCAAGGAGTGCAGAAATTAATAAAATAGTTCATTATTTGTTTGAAGTTAACTGGAAATGCCAATATGCTATACTTTGGAGACAGATCACTTACAAAAAATACTGCACTGACTTCTTGAAAAGCTGTCCTGCTATTTTGGTTCACTGTTGGTATACAAAATATGGATAGGCCTGTCTCAGATTTCATTGATAATAGTCAAAGTGAAAGCCCAGTTATCTGTTCATGCATACTGGCTTCACAGCACTGTGAGACCATCTAGTTGCCCAAGAGCAAGGTTCACACCAGTGTGAAACAGAATTAGTCTCAGGGTGTGCAGTTCTAGTGTGGTAGGAGTTGAGGACAGTTTTCATCTGCTGCTTTCATGACTTTGTAGGTCTTAATCAAAAGCCCCCTCTGACTTCTCCTCTGCAAAGGGGAGAATTCCAATGTTGGTACCCACTTGTCACAACACAGCTACTCTACCTCAGTTATTTTAGTTGCCACCTTTGCACCTTTCCTAGCTCTGCCATGTCCATAAGGTGTGGAAACGAGAAACACATGCATTTAAGATGTGCGATGTAGATTTTAAACGGAGGCATAAGGATGTGTGCACCCTCAGTGCTTTCCTGGTGATATCCAACATTTTGTTGACTTTTTGTCTGTCGTTACATCCTAAGCCAATGATTCAGACAACCGGCCAGGATGCCTCCAAAATCTCCTTCCCGAGTCCGGTTTCCAGTTCTGAGTTCAGCATTTTGTAGGCAGGGTTTAGATCATTTGTCCTAGGTGTATCACCACACTTTTTTCTGTATTATAGCTCATAAGGCATTTTCTTGCTCCGTCAGTTGTGTGAGGCCTTTCTGGAGTCCCTTACTATTATCTGAAAGATCTAAGTATCATCTGGAAACTTAGAGATTTCTCTGCATCAGGTCACTGGTGAATATGTTGAACAAAAAGCCAGGCACAATACCAGTCCTGAGGGCACCTAACCACTGACTCATCTCCAAAAGTGACCATTAAGCTTTTGCTCCCTGGTGTTTAAGCTGCTTTCAAACCATAAAAGCTTTCTCCCAATCCTGAGGCAACCTATTTTCTTTAATAATTTTTTTGTGTGTGGAAACTTGTCATGGACTTTTTGAAAATTTGAATGTGTTATGTCTGCTGTGCTCTTCTAGAGCTCGGGAAAGTTAGTGACATATAGTGTGAGCAGTTACTCCAGTTACTTCAGTGCAGGAGAAACAGATCGACTCACGTAAGAAACACTTGTCTCATCTTTAGACCATGAGTCATGCTATTTAATAGATTGCTGATGTTAAAAGTATAGTGAAAAAGAACATTTGAAAGAAAAGAAACACAAAATGGGAGGTTGATTTTGTATATTCTGCCTCAATGAGAAAAAACCTAAGTGCCTGCAAATTGTTCATGTTTGCCTTTTCTTTTTGTTAAATTGCAGATGGCATTCATACTTTATTATATGGCGATCGTTGGCCACGCTTTGTCTATAACATCCCTGTTGATTTCCTTGGCAATTTTCTTCTATTTCAAGTAAGTGTTTCTTACAGACACTCTCTTCTTTCCCTGAGGGATCTCAAGCGGTAACCAAAGAAAAGCTTGGAAAGGGGACATGGCAGCGAGAAACAGCTCTTCTGAGTGCCTTTTTGTATAATCCTGGTAAAAAAGTCTGAGCACGGCGTCCTCTCACCAATAGGACATCTCCCAGTGTGTGTGTAGCTGAGATCATGCTGTTAGATTTATTGAGACTGGTGTAAAAGTGCAGCCCGTAAGGAAATGGTGTAACTGGGGATTCGGTAAAGCCCTTCATTTACCAGTTGCCTATAGTCCCTTGAAGGGCATGTCCAGCCCCTGGAAGGTGCAGTGACTGCACAGGGCAGTGGCTTGGAGGCTCCAGCTCCTGAAGGACAGGAACACCTTCATCCAATGCTGAAGGACTGAGCTACTGACTTGAGTAGGTGCTTACAGTGCTCGGCACTAAGCGTGAATCTGACACTAGTGTGTAGCCTGTCATCAGCATTTAAAAGGGAAAACAGTGATGTGCTGCATCAGAACTTTAAAGGAGACTAAACTGATATTCACTGAAAGCATTGCAGCTACTGTATGGCAACTTAACTAGAGCATTTAAATCTTGTCCTTTAGTGAGCCTGTCTTTATAACTATTTATTATAATGTGTTTGCAGTGAAGGAGCAGAGGGAGCTCAGATTTGCTGTCAGACATGTAGTCACAGCAATCAGTAGTGAAGGGCTATCTGGGAACAGCCTTTGGTTTTTAGCTCAGGGAAATGGTAAGCACTAGAAGACGTCAAAGGCACTAGGGAAAATCTTAAAGAATAAACAATGTACAAGATCCTGAGCTATTGTACATCTGGAGCTATGATGACTTGCGTAAGCTATATTCTTCTAGCTTTTAAGCAATCTTTTTAAGATATTTCACTTTCATAACTTGCTATAAACTACAAACTTCCCGGACTAATAGTACACTCAGAAATCAGGATTCTAATGTCCATTCACAGACACTTTGATGAAACAGAATGATACATCCAGTATAATGACACCAAATGGGATGGTGTCTTACTGATTTCAGCAAATGTGCTTCAGTTGCTTGTAATCAGATAGCCAGGCCATCAGTTCATGACCAGAGACAGGGAAATGCTCACCATCAGTAGAGTCTATCTGGAGATCACTGCAAGGTAATCTAAAAGGCCAGGTAAAGTTTTCCAGCTTTACCTGGATAAAGGCTTTCAAGGATGCAAAGTATTCCCCACACTGCACACTGGGAAACAAAGTAAGAGTAACAGAAACAATTACAGATGCTTCTGAATAAATAATACACACAGTTATAACCTCATGGACTTTTGTTGTCAAAAAACTTACCTCATCCAAGAATACTGCAAAACCCCAAACTGAAGAATGCAGTATTCTTTGAGCCATCAAGAATACAAGGAAAATGGAACACAAAAAAATCTTTTTTTCTTCACAAGCTTCTTTACAGAGTTTAAGAAAGAATAGCTGCACAACAATGGTAACCTGTAGTAATTAAAAGTCCATCACTGTTGTCATTGTAAGAGTATACTGTTTTAAGTTTGTAATTTAGCCTGCAAAAACTTATTTCAAACTAAAATTATGCCAGAACACAAATAGGCCTGTGTAAGAGCATTAGTAAGATTCTTTCTACATGAATGTCAACAGATCCGAGCCCTTTATTAGCATCCAAAATACATTTTTTTGTTTCTTTATCATCATCCTCATAGAAGGATAAATTCTATTCTTTTGGATATTCATTAGTCTGTTTCAGCAGCTCAAAGACATATGCGGAATCCAGAAGTGCAGAATACTTCTAGGGATTAATTATCTTTCCAGTAGACAGATAAAGAGCTTGACTTTTATATACAGGTCAGAAATTATCATTTGATTTAATTTGGTTGATGTTTCTGGAAAAATGAAAGACAAAAATAAGCCCTCAAATCTCCAAACTGAAATTTAACAAATACATCAAATGCATTTTTTTCAGATCTTAGTGACCAAAATGGTAACTGTGAATTATGAGCAGGTTCTAAATTAATAACTTCCCACTGATGCCATATCATCAATGTATATATGCCTTATTTTCAAAAAGACCAGGATTCATTCTCTGTAGAACCTTTGTTTTCCAAAGCAGTTTTTCACACTGAAATTTCCAAGTCTGAAAAGGGAAAAATTGGACAATTTTTCTATTCCTTTATTTTGCAGCCTTAAGTTAAACCAAAGGGTATTTCTGTAAACATTCAGCTATTCCTTTTTGTCACCTGTAAGGCCAAGGAATCGTAATGAAGTACACCCACTACATTTTCTATCAATCATGACCATTTAGTTTCAAACATTTACTATGACCCTTTTAGTACTGAGTTTTTATGTGTCTAATCTAACTGTTGTTTGTTAAATGTCTTGGAATTGGTAAACTCAATGTTCTGCAATGTAAGTGAAAAACTTCAGTGTGACGTGACAAACTTTACATGCTGGATTGTGAGATATCATCAACTTCATTATCTGAATTTGTCAGATGTGGGCTTTTGGCCATAAATACACGTGAAGATTTGTAGAATCCATCAGTACATAGCAAAGACAAAATTCCAGCTTACACATGCATAGTAATTGCATAAATTTGGGAATTAAAAGAACCCCTTGCTGAACCCCCACCTCTACTGCATGAGGGATGGTTGCCTTGCTCTAAAAATCAGCAGTGAAAGGTGCTCCACAAAACCCCAGATACGTCGTGCCAGTGCTTAAATCAGTTCTAGCCTCAGAGTCCCTGTACTATTTAACCTAAATCTTACATGAGGCACCTTAACCTATTTCTCATCCCAATTTTGATCTATATGTACTACATATCTATGGATATGTTCAGGCTGTGTGCCTTCTAACAGTCATTTTCTTATGCAAATCTTCTCCCTGGTTACTTCATCTGCTGCTGGTCCCTGGAAAGGTACACCGTGGATGAAGGTGTCCATATAGGCTGGAAGAGGGTATGCTTAGTAAATTGGGAGGCCAGAAGAAGCTGGCATAAATCTCAGGGCTATACAGTCTGTGCCTTAACTGTCAGACAGGAAAGGTAGTAAAAGAACAAGCCCCCAACATCACCACCACCAAGGGTGAGTCTAGGAAACGTAGGAAAATGAAATGGTTGGGCTTTGCATAGACTATAAGAGTCAGTAAGATTACAAACTCAGAATAGGCGATCCAAAATACAGATTGTGAATTCTGCTAATTTCCAGAGAGGCAGTTTGATGAGTGACTGTGATGACGTGCAGTAATCAGATACAGAGAGCTAGAAACTCTGCCCTATAAACTGATGAATTCCCTTCTCATCTATTTAAAGATAAAGAGCACAAAACTGCAGCCACAGTAATGCTTTAAGAAACCTGGGAAGAGCACAGTTTAATCCTATTTGGAATCCTATGCCCAGACTTCAGAGTTCTTTGGGACAGTAAAGATAAGATCTGGTTAAATTGGCTGCCCAAAATGGACCAAGAAGGGGATTCCTTGCAGCGAAAGAGGCAGGATCAGGCAGTCTGACTCACTCCTGCTCTGCGTCATGGACAACGCACGATCCTGACCTGTCCCAGGCCATGCTGAAAGACTCATCTTTGCAGCAGCCTTCCAGACAGTAACACACCTCCTCTTTTTTTTCCTCTTCCACTTCTCCTTCCCCTTCCATGACTCATACATGACACAAAGGTTAGAGGAAGAAGTAGAGAAAGGAATTAAAATAAAGTGCTGCAAAATGGGAGGACAAAGAGGAAACCAAACTATGAAAGTGAGAAGAAAGCTGTATGGGAGCAGGGTTCATGTTACCTTCAGTTTTCTATCATCTGGCTATGACAGCGACACATTATTTGATCTTCAATAGAAGGCAAGCTGTCAATCGGAGAGTCAGTCAGCAAGAGATGGTTGCGGGGCCATATAATAGCCTTTAGCTGTAGAGGCAGCAACAAACAGCTTGCAGAGGTTGCTGTTTCCCACACATAAGTCTTTCCTGGCAGAGATTTATTTTCCTTTCAGTTTTGGATATCAAGATTCATAATGATCCGGCATCACAGATGTTGCAGTACTTTTGGAAGGGAATACTGAATCAGTAGTGATGAGCATCAGTAAGCAATACTAACTCATAACAGGAGACAGCGTATTCATAAAGTAGCGTGTCTAACAGTTACATGCATCTTCATCACATTATTGCAATATTTTTATAATTGCAAACCCCATGATCTTATATGATAAAACACAAAAGAAAAAAGGGACTCCTAGCTCCAAATGACTTCCAACTGAATTATTAAAACAAAGACATTTGTATAAAGACAGATGGGGAGTTCAATAAGTCTAGATTTGCCAGAATAATAGATGGTGTGTTGTGAATGCACCTGTAGTCTAACTGTTGCCAAGGCTTTTAAAGATAGTTGAAGGATAATGGGTGGAAGGATAATTTGGTGAAATTTGTTTGGAGTTTTCCTCAGGGGTAAGGGAGAGCATGGTAGAAAGCATGAAAATATGAAAACTAAACAAGTGGATTGGAAATGGAAAATAACTGGCTGGGAGTGAAAATCAGTGTTCTCGATATTCATGAATGAGAAGAACTGACAGATTCATAGCACAGACCTATCAAGAAAATAATGCTAAAAGCTCCTTTGAAGTCAAAATATCCTAGATGCAGTAAAAAGTGGAGATAGGAACTCAAAAGTAAGGGTGACTCTGTGAGTAGATAGGAGGACCTATCTCTGTCAAAGGAAATGTAGGAGACATAGGATAGATGTGAAACACAGGTGAACCACAAGGAAACAGGAGACTCTGAAACTCTGAGACACAACTGATAGAGGCATAGTGACACAAAAAACTCACAAGTTTTAAACTATAATAACTGGCTTAGTGATGCCTTCTTCCATACTGATTAATGAAGCAGAGTAGGGGGCATACAGAAAGATGGGTGGGGGGTGACAAGGAGCCTTCAAACACACCACAAAGGAATTATTAGGAAATCAGGAAGAGAGCTAAGAGAGGTCAGAGAAAGAGAAGATTACAGATGATTGTCAAAAACAGCAGAGAGGATGGATCAAGTATGGGTTTTGATTTTGCTAGAATGTTCTCCTCTCTGTGTGGACCGAGTCAGGCAGGTGCTGATGCCATTTTAATGGCAAACACTGAAGGTCAAATTAAAAAGTGGGAGTGTGGAAATACACATTTAATGATCCAGCTGGGTCTTTAACATGAAAGCTGGAGTCAAGGAAAGAAGGTGAGGAATACTGAGAGGAAAGTAGGAGAGCAATGCAGGAGGTAAACTGGGAGAGAAAGGCAGGCAGGGAAAGGAGCTTAGACAGCAGATGAAGGAAACATGCGGTGAAGGACAGTCCAATTTAATAGAGGAGTAAGTCTGGCAAAAGTCAAGAAGAGCAGTGAGGAAGGACAAGAATGGGAGTGGAGGCACATGTACCTGGCAGAGATTGTCACAAAAGACTGTCTCTCTGTACCGGTGGCCATGTAGAGAGGCAGCTGGAGACACAAGGTTCTGCATTTCTGTGGCCAGGCGCTGAAGAGATTTCTCTAAGCAAAAGGGAAAAGTTTATTTCAGGACTCCAGGAGAAAGACAGAGGGAGATGGGCACATGAGAGTGTCCCAAAAGAAGTGAGGTCAGTGGCACAGGCAAAGTATAGTGATGGAGAATGGGGAGAAAGGAAGAAACAGGACTAGATAAATACCACCAGAGCTTAGGAGCAGAAAAGGAACATTAGGCTGGATTTGTGATGGGGGCAAATACAGGTGGAGTAAGCACAAGAACACAGCGTAGAAAAATAGGTCCAAAGAATGGTCTGTTTTGCCCAATATCCTGCCCTACAGTGGATCAAACTGACAGTGCGCCTAGCCCCGTATCTGGAGCTCAACATTTGCCACTAGCTGATGATAAATGAAGAATATATAATCAGGGCAAGTGTAAAGAGATACTCATTCTTAGCCCCCAGGACCTACATCTCATGGACATCCTGAACCAAAGAAGGTGTCTTGGTAAATAAAGAGGTCAACAAAAGTGGTGAGCATTGCAGGATGATGATGACTATAGCCAGAAAGAAGACCTCAAGCTGAAGGAAGAATTCCATCCAATGACTCAGAAAATAGGTGTAAGGAGAATCAAGAATAAGTGGCAGGTGACCAAGGAACTAAAAACAGAAAATAAGTAAATGGACAAAGGAGCAAAAGAAGCAGAAAAGAGTTCAGCTGGTTAGACTAGGTCTCTGTTTTTAAAGAAAGTGCATCCTGTGTTAGACGGCACACACAGAGCATCAGAAAGTCACAGCCTGTGCTCCGTTCCGAACTGCCAAAGACTCCAAGTGCCGAGGAGGAGGCTTGCCTCAATGAGACAGCAATACTTGCGCTTAGCTATTTTTTACCTACCAGTTTTGCCTGCTTGCTCTCAGTGATCACTGACTACAGACATCACAGCATTATCTGACAACTCCACGACTGCCTTTCTGCAATCACCTCCTGCCAGCTCTGGGTGTTTTTCTCTGCATCAGGGGTCGCCGAGGAGGTGCCCTGAGGATTTGGGCGTGAATTAGAAAGGGGAGATGGTTCAGGTCTGAAACTGCAGTGATGATTCGGTTGCACAAGAATCCCGTGAACTTCTCTTGTGAAATTCTGCTACCCACAATAGCAGAAATCCTACCCCCCCCAAAATCAACTTGTTTTCCTTCTGAGCAGGAAAACAACCTCTTCTGGTTTGGGATCTCATCTGGAGTTAGAAACATGCAGGATACCAACCCAAATCCCCCTGTAATTTAAGGGGATTCCTGCCCAAAGTTCCCACCACTAATTCATAAAGTAACAAATAATTTTCATTTGAATATTTGAGAAATTGAGTCTCCAGGGAACGGTTACTTATAAAGCACTATTCCTGATATTCATTACTTGTATGAATACTTGTATGAATACTTACATTGTATTACTTGCATCTGAATTCTCAGGGTTCTGCTTCACCACTTAATATCACAATTACCATGAAATAAAGAAAGGCATCAAGGGCTGAGAATGTAGCTGGATGGCTCTTTACAACATGGTCTAAAAAGCGTGTGGTACTAAACAGGTGTAAAAACAAAACCAAATATCTGTCAGAGGCTATGGCTGCAATGCAAGGCATGTATTTTCCAATTAGGCCTTGCCAAAAGGCATTCTTGAGAGACTGCTGCCAGAAAGAGCTTGTTAAAGTGACATCAGAAGAAAAATACTAATTTACAATGTGTGCTACATATTTTTCAGGAGCCTCAGCTGTCAAAGGATAACACTGCATAAGAATTTATTTTTTTCTTACGTGCTGAACTCCATGTTTACAATTGCCCACCTCATTGCTGTTGTGCCTAACCCGGGACTTGTAAAAAGGGATCCCGTAAGTACTGCATGACTCCTCTCCATCGTAACACCCAAGTAAAATTACGACGGCCATGCCGAAACCAGACACTCCCACCCACCGGTTAATGACAGCTGACTGGTAAAACGCACACAGAGGGTCAGATTCTGAGAATTTCACTCAACCTTGCTCAGACCTTTCACCGAGCAATAAAATTTTTTGGATTTGGTACAAGAGGGAGAAGCCAGCCCATCTGTATAAATGTGTGTCAGATCCTCACTGCTCTTGGTACTACCTACCTGACATTTTCCAAAAAAGCCCCTGAGGGTCAGGTGCTCTTGGTGGCCATCCATCCTGTCTCACTGACACACACGCTGGGGAGGGGCAGGGATGGAGAGGGATACGACTTTTATCAAAATCCCCTCCCAAAGATCTGTTTGCTGCATTTTCTTTCTTGGGAGGTGGTAAATCAAAGCAATAGCTTGCTTCACTGCTCTTAGGTAGTGACACAAATTGTGCCAGCCCCTCAGCTGATAAATATGTACGGCAGATCTCAGTCCCCCAGCTCTGACCTTGCTCTCTAACAAACAGAGCAATTGCATTGTGCTTGCCATCGCTACAGCAGTTCCGGCTGATGGGAAATTAATGCAAGCCTGGGAATCTCTCAAGTTATGTCACAACACTGATCAGCCTGTCTTCTAGTAAGATCGTTCAATTATGGCTCAACCATTTATCAGCTTCTAATTTTGTGAAAGCAATTAAACAATAGCACCTGATATGATCTGATCACATGTGTGTCTCTTAAATGTGAGCTGGTTAAGTAAGCTAATTAAAGCTCACTGGTTAAGTGAGCTGATTAATGCAGGAAATATATAGACTAAAGAAAACATCACCAGTTCCAGGGACCATCTGGAGATTAAAAAAGAGAAGAGCAGAAGAATAATTAAAAAATCACACATTTTCTTTCTCCTATGACTACATAGCATCATATGTACGTAGCCTGTGCCTGAAGTGCAATGAAAATACACTTGATATTTTAAGATAAAAAGCTGGCACATGATATCAGGCACCTAAATTGAAGCAGGATCATTACCTCAGGGTTAAGAGTGATACTTTCTGACAGCAGAAGTAAATTATCTGAAGTGCTTTAAACTAAAGCTGAGGCCACAGCAAGGACTCTTGTGCTCTAAGATTTCATTAAAAAGCTGTGTCTAGTGCCTTTGGGCTGGATCTCTATTTGGAGAAATCTTGACCCCAGTGAAGTCAATGACAAAGCTCTCAGAGGCTTTGGTAGAGCCATGTAGCCACAGGACAGGTACCGGCATGCTGAGCATCACCTGATTAAAACCCCAGCCTCTGTTGCTATGGCAACAGACAGTATAGAAATGACATAAGTGGTTACCTCTGGAGGCCGTGGAGCCCCAGAGCAGTGCAGAGGTTCATGTATGCAGTCAGCTCTCAGGTCTCGGGCCAGACTATGAAGGGAACACTGAGTGCTGAATACAGTCACAGAAATCACCCAAGCCAGTGTCCGTCTGCCGAGGTTACCGACTACAGCTGTGTTAGCAAACCTGGCCGCAGCTGGTTAGATAAGCACATGCTTTGTTGAACAAAGCCCTTGTTTTGCACTTTCTTCTTCCTTCAAACCCAATTTGCATGTCTTTGACTCAGCAGTGAACTGCTGTCTCGAGGCAAGGTACAAAACCTGGGGCCAGGAGACCTGGGGTCTCTCATTTTTGTGCTGCAGTCACGTGCGGGATGAGGGTACACTCACTGCTTGATCTTGCCTCACTTTCTAGATTTCTCTCCCTCTAAAAAAAAAATTAGAAAAAAGGAGGTGAGGTGACCTGTTAATATGTTCAAAGTCTCCCAACATTACTGGAAAGTGTATTCTGTTATTTTAGTAACATAATAAACTTGTAAATACATGTCTGGGAAAAGAAAATACACTGCCAGGGGCAAGTTTTTAACAGGTGATGAAATTACATATAGTCTCCATATAAGAATATGAAGACTTAAAGGATTTATGTTAAAAATTTACTTATTCCACCAGGTAGATTCCCATAATATTTTTATTTTATTTTAATGCTTTAACAAAGCAAATGAAGGCTTTATAGCTTGTTTTTTTCTATCCCTACTGCACCCTCTGTTTTATCAAGTTCATTTTAAGATGACTACTTCTGACTTTCTGTAGTTTCAACCTGTGCTCCTTCTGAGCTTCACAGGCTCATGTGCTTGTGGCTCATACCTTCAATATATACAGAAATACAGAAATGTGTAGAAAGAATTTCAAACAGTCAGATATCCCATATGTAATGGACATATACAGAGATGAAGCTGATGGTACTTATTCTGAAAAATAATAAACATATTTTCACCCCAATAGCTCCTGCTTTTTTTTCCTGCATAAAGAAATATCACGATAGCTTTTAAATATGCAATGTCATGGGAAAATACTTACAGTGAATAAGTATTTGTGAGGATATCAACAAATCCATACAATTTTGAAAGAAGAAAGAAGATTATGTTAAATAACAAAGAAAAAAGACAGGAGGAGCAAGAGAGGAAATTCATCCCTAACACCAAGACACCCACATTCTCCCTGTATCCAGACACAAAAGATGCGAGACAATCCAATGCAAAGCAACATTTACATGAGGAGAGGTTGTACTGCATCCTTACTCACATATAGCTTGCTGCACACAGTTAAACCCTGTGATGATCACTCTGCTCAGGTAAAATGGTAAGTCAAGCCACTTTTTCAATATATTTTAATTTACTTTTTTACCTTATTTTTTCCTGCTTTCTGGTTATATAATTTTCTCTTTCTCTCTCAGATTTATCTGGATCTGAAATGATGGAAGAGAAAGATGGGAGCTCAGGTGGCCATGCAAGAAGAAAAGCAGCAATGAAAAAGGTCCAAGGACACTTGAACAAAAAGAAGAAACAGGACACATGTATGAACACTTATTTACATATATTGAAAAATGTTATGTGATCTAATTTTTGGCATGTTGTATCTAAAGTAACAACTGCATTAATTACACTATTACTGGAACAGATTTTATAGGAGAGGATATCTACTATCACGTTAAATGAGACTGACCCACAGAGGAAGGATGATCTGTGAACAGCACATTATGTTCTCTGTTAAAAACTGTGGAAATACAAATAAAACTCTTGCTGACTAATCTTTTAATACAGTCTTGCACGTTGGGTCTGTATTTTTCATTTTTGTGTTCCACAAGATTAGTAATTTTAATACTCAGTTCTGATGGGGGTAAAGGAAGATACAGCTAATGACTGGAGGGATGGCTCTGCTGATGAGAAACTGAATAATGGCTTAGTAATTGGAAACTCATCCAGAAAAGCTTTAGGAGATCTTATTGTATTTTTATCACTTTCGTCTACTGGTAGAGATAATATCTGTTCTCTCCTTTCTCCAGGCTCTTGTCTAGTCTATTCACTTTTCACATACTAGTTTCTCCTTTACTTCTGGCATTGTATGGTGTGAAAGTTTCAATTTCAACTGCAGTTTTACGGAGTTCATAGCAAGGGCCAGTGCTCCACTGGGAGCTCCTGGGAGCCCTGTTGGGCTTTCATGCTTGGTCATGGTAAGAGTAAGGACCATCAGAGAGTAAGGACCCAGCATCCATTCAGGCATGCTCCAATCTCACTGTCAAGTCCCAGCTCTCTGCCACACAGCTTATTTAAGCCTTAATGTATAAATAATTTGTACTCCCTCTTGCATGGGTACAGCAGCAGAGCTGATAAGGGACAACCCTGATAAATCTGTGTTTTATTACAAGCACTGTGATCTCATTTTCTTAGCAAGGACAGATTGGACATGGGCTGGGCTGAGCCTGACAGTCTTTTCCACTAGCAGTATCTGTAACTCAGCTCTTGCTGAGGTGGAAAGTGCCTTGGACATGGGGTATGATACACTGAAGCCTGTCCTTGTCTCCTTGTGTAGACGTAGATATATTTCAAAGATCCTGAGTTAATTTATGACTCTAGCTGATGGTGCGGGACCAACACCACAAGCAATTCATTATCACTGAAAAGTTGCTGTCACTGTGGGCACGAGGTGGGATAACAAAGGGCACTAGGTTTATCTGTACTGCCTGAAGCCCATCTCCTGGTAGGAAGCAAGCCTTCAGGAGAAACCACTAAGCTGCTTCCCACAGAGCATTATTAGTGAGTCCATAAGAACATGAGAAAGAAAGCACAAAAGCTGGTGTCCACTAGCATTACAGTCTTTATAGCAAGACCGTGATAGTAGTAATATTAAAAAAAAATAGTATCCTCATGGACACTAGAACACTATAAATAACCTCACCATTGACTAATTCAAGTGAAAACCATGACTGTCCAAGTGTATTAGGTTTTCCTCCCTATCACTGTAAAACAGTGGAAATAAAAAGTTGCGCTGTGTGGGAAGATGAAGAGTGTATAAAGAGTAGTTGATGTGACTTATGGGGTTACGATACTGTTGACTTCCCCTGTTCTCAAAGGAATAGACAGGGAATAAGAGCCAAGAAAACAAAGGAGATTCACAGCATTTCAGGAACCAGTTAATCAGTTAATTTTAAACCAGTTAAAAATCAGTTAATTTTAGATCTTTTTGCAATATGTTGCCTTTCTCGTCTCTTACTGCTTTCACTTCCTCCTGATAAAGCCTGGCAGAGCCTGGGGGAGGTTAAAACATGTTTTTCTCAAATGAGAGGCCATAGCTGATACCAGTGAAGACAAGTGGCAAAAATGCTGCCTGTGTGACCTGTGTTTGCCTCAGTAGTCCCAGCAGTCCCCACGATGCAGCCTCCACTGCAGCAAAGCAAAGGTGGAGCTCAAAGGGGGAGGGTGCTTTGATCCTCTGAGTTGTTTCATGTATTATGTTTGGGCTAGAGCTTCAGGAGGCTCCATTCTTGTTAAATTAATTTGATTCTTTATTAATGTAGCTATTTCCAGAGTTTTCCTGCTACTTTCAAAGCATCTCCAAAGTCTTTCATCTTAGTACATCTGTTCCTCTACCCTGTTGC